TTGGCTAGTCATTCAAACTTTGGGCACGAAGGGAGCAACGCTGGTTCGTCGTGAGTATAACATACAATTAAGCCATTATTATTTAAAGCTACTAAAATTCAGAATATTTCTCAAAGAATAAAGCTGGAATCTAGTAAATGTCATATCTTTGAAAAAGGGATAAGACCCTACCCTCCCCCAGAGCTCATATAAAAGTATTGTATATTGATTTCTTTCCTTATACATATCATAGGGGTCATATGTGAGGCATCTCAAAGATAAGATGATAATTTTGAATATGGTAGAGGTACTCAGAAAAAATTAATGAAAAAAATATAAAATATTTTTACGAGAAAATTTTGAGAAAAAAAAAACTCCAAACTTTTATAAAGAGCTTTCGCCGCTAATTAAGATTTATAGAAGGAATGGAATGCTTTCAAACATTAGTAGTTAGTTTGAGTGAAAGAGTAAGCTATTATTAAGGAAAATAAAATGTATACTTTCAAAACCGGAAGTTAAGGGGCACAACTGCTATGAAATTTAAAAACAGTCGATTCGGTTTCATACTTCGATAAGTTATTCTTTAAAAAAAAATTACTTAAATCGATATCGCAAATAGTTTTTAAGTTAACAGCTCAGTTTAGCGTAATGCTTATCTTTAAACGCGTTTTTCTTAAAACCACATTTTTCAAATTTGCTTGAGTCATTACTCGGCGACAAATGATTCGAACTCTATTAAGTGTTCTGCATGTTCTGTTCTGCATACAATGACATATCAGTTGCTCTTTCAGATCTGATCAAAAATCGAATTTAGGCAGGCTAAAAACGATCAAGTTTTGGTTATTTTTTTATTGTAGAACGACGCTATTGTGGCAGTTTTTGATTTGGAGAGATTTCGTCCAAGGGGAAGGCCAAAATTAACTACAGCAGTGAAGGGCTTTTGTTTTTAGCGCACTCGGAAATCGCGTGTACCTCAAAAAATATTTAATTTCTTTCTTGAAGCATTTTACTGTGTATCTTGTCTTGTCTTGAAATATATGTATAATAAGTATACCCTTAAAATTTTAAAAGAATTGATACAGTGTTTTTTTAATTGCAACGAATCGCCTATTTTAAAGCTGTCACACTAGGTGCCCCTTAATTATGTTTGTTATTAAATAAAAAAAATTAATTATCTTATTATCGTGGCCAATAATTACTAGAGTAAACATCAATTTCGTCATATCAACAAACACACACAACCCTTTTTACAACATAAAAACAATTTTTTCGAAATTCGCTGGATTGATAGTTTACATGCAAAAATTCAATTACGCGAGTGAGTGCACCACAACAATCGCGGTGCATACAAATATTCTATATAAATAGGTGGTGCAACGTTGCCATAGAATGGGTATTTTCCTACATCATACCGGTAAGTAGAGTGGTGTGGTGTGTGCCACAATGAGGCATAATCGAATGTACATATGATTAAAAAATTGTTATGTTGCATTTTGCAATAAGCATATATGCACATATATGTATGCATGTATGTATGTGTGCAAACAAGCAATTTCACGTGATCATCTGCGTGTACAATCAACTCTCAACTCTTGCGTTGCTATCTTTTCTACTGACATGAATAGAGGAATGTATGTATGTATGTGTGATTGCTTAACAGCAAACATACAGCGAGCCACAGTTGCAGTACGTAAAAGTATGTATGTACATACAACATCACATAATCACTCACATGAGTGCATTTGCACTTTGCAACTTGCTAGTCGAATATCGTTAGCTGTGTGTGTGTGTGTGTGTCCGCGTGCAAACGTGAATTTAGACGTGTGTGAAGGTCTTGATTTTGATTAACCTCATTTTTATGCAACATGAGGCAGGCAGGCACTTAGGAAAAAAATACACCACAACAACAATAGCAACAAATAATTGAATTATGCGCCCAACACGCGCTCGCGCACATGCCACACTGATAACAACTGTCGGATGTGGCAGATAGACAGGCGGACGAACGAGCAATAATATGCATGCGTGCATTAGATAGATAGAGTGAAGATGGACAGGCTAAAGCGCTATCAGACATTTATATATGTGTGTAAATATAAGCAATACTAAACAACCGACGGCTTCAAGTCCTAGACAAGTTCGTGTTGCAATGTAATCTAGCTACTTTCGAGGCGTTCTTTGATATAAAGCACTTGTACAACACGCCAAGGAAAGATACATATGCTCATATACATGTAATGGTATGGAAATATATACATGTAATGGTGGCACTAGTTTTTTTCGGTTGAGTACTGACCTGCTTACAAATAAATATTGATTGCATTTCGCTTCTAGTTTTGTGATCTCATAAATCATTTTGACAGCTTTTGCCATAGTACTTGAACTGATTCACATTACATCCGTTTTGCACTACTTACGAATTAGGTCACATTGAAGTGGTACACAACTAGTACTTTTGATTATAAAATCGTAACATTTACCACGGCGACTGTCGTTGAAGTAAAAGTATAGGCTTGCAAATATTTATGAGCTGTTATGTTCGTGCCACATGTGTGGCAGCTGGCTCACTCACCGCCGTTAGGCTTCATTTCAAGTGTGGCATGCCAAACGGCGTTAAAGTAAAAACTTCGCATTTCCCCCAAATGCCAAATACTACAAGCAGAAGCCTCATCATTCTCACCTTACAAGCGCGGACGACTTTTCCACATAGTGTGCTATTTCGAAGGAGGTTGTTTATGAAGCAGGCACTTAATTGAGAATTTGTGAAAGTTGTGTTGAACTTAAAGTTTTTCCTTACTCTTATCACTTCGAAGAGGGCTCGGTAGTTGGAATATGTGGCTAACTATTTGCCTAAAGCTCAAGCGACGAATAAGGATCAAAATTTTAGTTAATAGGTCTATAGGTGTTCACCCTGCCCAATACGAAAAAAGAGCCCAGAGATAAAAGTATCAGTCAACGGCTCTTATGTTGCCGTTAAACACTTGTGGATATTGGGGTATACTTGGAAACGACGACTAAAAAAAAGCAGAATCTCAGACAAGTCAAAGTAATTAACATCAATACGTAAAAAAAATTATCAGATTTTTTAAATCAAACCATTTAAAAAAAAACATCATTACTATGTATAAGTACTGTGTGGACCCATTTTTTTATACCTTGAACAGGGTATATTAAGTTTACCACGAAGTTTGCAACACCCAGAAGGAAATGTTGGAGACCCTATAAAATATATACATAACTGATGAGCTGAGTTGATTTAGCCATGTCCGCCTCTCTGTCCGTCCGTTTGTATATACGCGAACTAGTCTCTCAGTTTTTGAGATATCGATCCTAAATTTAGCATATAGCCTTTTCTTACCAAGAAGCTGCTCATTTGTCAGAATGGCCGATATCGGACCATTATAGCATATAGCTGCTATAAAAACTGAACAATCGGAATCAAGTTTTTGTATGGAAAACTCTTTCATTTGACGCAAGATCTTCATGAAATTTGGCATGAATTATTGCCTCAGCCAATCGTACAACCTCCGAAGATATAGTTCAGATCGGATCACTATAGCATATAGTTGCCATACAAACTGAACAACTGAACGATCTTCACGAAATTCGGAACGGATCATCATCTAAGGCAATATTAGAATCTCCGAAGAAATTGTTCAGATCGAATCAGTATAGCATATAGTTGCCATACAAACTGAACGATAGGAATCAAGTTTTTCTAAGGTACCTATTGTATTTGTGAAAGTTATTTTAGTCTAGTATCGGTGCAACCGAAGTAAAGTTTTTTTCTTTTTTTTTTTTTAATTTATGTCTATAAATGTGTGTGCATGCTTAATTTGGTACTATGTTGCAAGTTTAAGTTCAAATATTAACTCTGTCTTCGTAAGGAAATCTACAACGCGTCGCTTTCGTATTATATGGCATTATTGGCACTTTATGCATCGCGTTGCAAATATTTGCACTTGCATTTAACGTTCAATAAGCAAGCAAATATTTGCGAATTTTATTACTACTGTGTGATGAAGTGCGTTCGGATATTTGCAAACCGCAGTGATGCAACAAATTAAGTGTTGCTGTCTGATTGCACAATGAAATGGATGCGAGTGGTGATACGCACTGAGTACAAGTATGTATGTATGTACATATATATTAGCTACATAAATGCATACACATATAAGGACTATATTGTTTCTAATATAATTTTCTATTGTGCCTGATTCTTGACAAAAATAAGCAATTAGAAGAATTTTTTTATATATCTTATTATATCGACATACTAACTACTTGGAAAGTGGCGAGCCGAACAAACATCTCTCATAAATAATAGATACTGATATAATCAAGTAGAAACATAATAGAAAACGAAAATTTTTCAGAACCCCTTTAGCAAATAAAGGCATTTTATATAATACTACATCTAACTACGCTCAAAATATAATTTCATTTTTTATGTTGGGCAGAGACTGAAATCGAACGCAGATCGTGTGCAGCGGTAGTATGGACCTCTAACCCAAACGCCATCAAAAATGCTCTAAAAACAGTAGTTAAACGCTTATTATCTTTTACACTATGCTACCTGTCTACTAATTAAGATTTACGCTTTATATAAGTTATTTACTCACAAGCTTAACATCTCTTTTACAGCAGCAAATTTTTGAGATATTATGCACATAAGCTTAATTGATTTTTTGCTGCTTTTTAAATAAACTTATTAAAACAATTATATATAAAAGTATGTATGTGTGTACTCGTATATAAAAAAAACATTTAAGCACTCAATTTCGCAGAAGTTTCCAATGGAGATTAATTTGTTAAGCAAATATGCAAGCAATGCGATGCAAAGTGGCTAAGCCAATCACCGCATTTATTCCATGCCATCCATGCCATACATGCCGCCGAAGCCAGGCCATTCGTTTTATTTTCTCATTTAAGTAGTAAAACAAATTACTAATCTCTTTCCTATTTGATTGTGTGTTACCTTATTTTCTCTTTATGTTTTTTTGTTGGCTGTTTCATTGCAGAAACCATCGGCCACCGCCAAACCGACAAAGTATCACTACTATCCACACAATCAACATATCTACTTGCTGCCCGAGTGCGCGATACAGCAGGTCTGCAATGCGGTCTATGTGCGTCTGAATTACACACAGCCATTATGCGCCTGTCCATCAAGGTGAGTACCACAATGAACAACCTAAATTAGCAAGGATCCATGTAAGTGCGAGTGCGCGCGTGTGTGTGTGTGCGTGTGAGGCAAGATTCAATCGACAACAACAAGCCGTGGTTTGAATAGACACATGAAGCAGTGCTTTGGAAGGCTAAATGGACAAGCCAACAGACAATCAAATATACAAACTGACAGCTAAACGAACGATAAGCGGGATGCGGCCGAATGAGGCGATCGCGAGCGGAACGAACGGAACGAAGCGGCGTGGCGCTGCTTGACTAGCCGTGTAATGGATACAACCGTCTGCAAGCTGGCAGCTGGAAGCTCAGTTGCGCTGCCTAACATGCCACTAGCAACATGCCACATGCCAGCACCAAGTGCACGCCACAACGATGCTGCTGTTGCATGAATAGAGTTAAATAATTTCACAATTGATTATTTCATTTTATAAAGTGAATGCTTGAGCTCTTTTTTTGTTTGCTTCTGCAATTTAATTGTGTTTTCACAATTGTTTTATTGTTTCTCTTGTTTCATTACTTTTATGTTGGGCCAACAGATATCGTGATCCCTGCTCGGCCAGTCTGAATGAGGACGATCAGCATACAACGAAATTGGTGGGCGACAGCAAGAAGAAGGTAAGTGGGTGGGGTGCAGGGGTGGCGGCGCATGCAGTTCGCTGAATTAATAGTTAACTGTATACATATGTGTGTGTGTGTGTGTGGTTAAATGTGTTGGCGTTGTGCGGAAGTGCAGCAGCAAATTGGAAAACTACTAGGCTAACAAGGAATTGTTAGAATTACTAAAAGCGCGGCGGCAGCGCAAGTTGGTAAGAGTAGAAGGGTAGGAGAAGCAAAGCGAGGCGTAAGCTTGCGTTTTGCGGCTTTCGATGCTCGTAAATACAATAACAGACGGTGAGAAATGAAATTAAACGATGAATCTACAAGCAGTTAGAGTCTATTTCTTTTTTTATTGTTGTTGTGTAATTATTTTAAATAAGTAGTTAGGCGAAAGATTTACCTGCACTTCTGCTGACTTAAGTGGAGATTAAGTTAGTCAGGAGAGCACATATAGAAGTTAATTTAAGGAAAGTATGTGAAAAACTCTAATAATATAAAATACTTAATTATTTTTTATTATTTGTCAAAGCAAAACAATAAGCTTACTCTTCAACTCCTATTGCGTAAGAGTTAAGTAAAGTGTTATCAAATAACTCTTATTAAGTAAGCGAAAAATAAAAATCAAAATTTAAAGATTATTTTGTGAATAAAAAATATAAATCAAATTTAAAAAGTTTTTGACATATTTGTAAAAAACAAAAAATTTCTATTCCTATATCATATGTGGCACATATGTTATATCCGACCTTCCTTCATAATAATTTTTTTAATCAAAAATTATGCAACAACTGTTATTTTCTGTCCCTGTTCTTAACTGCTTAATTACGACTGGCCAAGACGGAAAATGCGTAGCAGTAATACGGGACATTGTTTTTTTATTGTATATATATATATATATTTTAAACTATTTTTTAGGGGGTTACATACAGTTAGAATTTTCAAAAAATCGATTTTTTTAAATTTTTTTTCTTAAGTAAGTATAGAAGAAACGAGTGAAAAACGAGAAGAACAGACGGTGTTCGCGAGTCCATAATTTTAGTATCATGTTTGTGCTTCCGCTGGATGGCGCGTTGATCGAAATAGTAGCAGCAACTTTATTTTTAGTGTAGGATACAAAATATAAATCATTCTCAAAAATAAAAGTAACAATGCAAACGATTTAATAGGAAAATAAATTTTAAAACGAAGACCCAGAAATGGTCTACAACTGGGGATTGAATTTGTGAAATGCCGTGAATACAAGCTGCCGACTTTCTTTTTATTCTATTTCGTTTTATAATGAATCCTGGAAGGTTAATTTATTATTAGAAATTTATACAGGTTGGTTGCAAAGTTTCTGCTCTCACCAATAAATAGCACGACTAGCTCCAAATTTTTTTCTCGAGTTGGTACATCAGTCGTGAGAACACATTAAAAGGCATTTGAAGTTTACGTCTTAGAGTATTTTTTTATTATGGAAAAAATTTAATACCGCGCAGTGATTAGATTCTTTGTTTTGAAAGAGCAAAGGAAATTTATGAACGCGTGTTAGAAGTGTGTAAGGAGTCCTCACCTTCAAAACGCACAATTGAATTTTGGGCTGGCAAATTTAAACGTGGTCGTACTAGGCTTGATGACGATGCACGCGAAGACCAAAAGCCGCAACCACACCAGAAATCATTGAGCAAGTTCATAATATTGTTAGTGAAGATCCAAGTTTGACTAAGCGTGAAATTGATAATGTTATAGGCTCAGCTGGATGAAAAAATTCGTGAGAAAATACCTGGTTTGCAGCACAAAAAAACAATTTTTCGTTAAGACAGTACACCTGCTCACAAAGGTGTTCTAACAATGACAAACTTCAACTAATTAAAGTACGAATTGCTTGAGCATCCACCGTATTCACCAGATTTGGCTTCCAGCGACTACTACCTCTTCAGAAACCTGAAACAATTCCTTCATCGAAAGCGTTTGTCGTCAAATGAAGAAGCTTTTACAGCCGTAAACGGATATTTTGCAGAGCTTTCGGAAAATCATTATAGGGATGGCATAAAATTATTGGAGGATCATTGAAATAAGTGTATTGAAGTTAAGGGAGATTATATTGAATAAAAAAATATATTTCGTACCAAAAACAGTATTTTTTCATTTCGAGCGCAGAAACTTTTCAACCAACCTCTATATCTTTTGGATTTTGCATGGAAATTCAAAGCGACTTGCATTCATATTTATCAGGATTTTGTTTTTAGTTTAATATCAAAAAGTCAGCTTAGAAAATGTTACAAAAATGTGTAACGCAAAAATATGCCTAAGTCATTAGAGATAGAAACACAACTTTACAACGTTCTTCATCTGGATCTTGAGCGCCTTAACAAGAGTGAACTTTTTTCAATAAGCCTTCTCTGATTGCGCTACATTTAATAAAAATTGAATTGAACTTCTCTATACGAGTATTTATACATTATGGTTTTGTATGTATTCAAATGTTATCTTGTGCACAATTCAATGCTAATAAATGGATGTCAGCTCGTTCTGAAAATTGCAGTTTTCCGCAGATCTCTTCACGCTAAGCCGTGGATAATCTGAAAACCGATTATTGTAGAATAGGAAAATTAGATTAAAATTAACTCACATAAAATGAGCCACAAAACTGTATAAGAATTTACAGCTGACATGACCTGACTCCAGTAGCTTGCCAGCGTTAGCTATTAACTAAAGCGTTTAAATCAAGACTCTATGTGCAATTCTTCAATAATTTTCCCTAACCGCTTTTCACATCATTAAAGCACTAGCTGGACGCATTATAAACACTAAGAGCATTCAATTCAATTACCAGCTGCCGTAGAACGCAATACTCCACCATGCTTGCATTATATATCATAAGTGCAGCCCGAGGGTGGCTTGTAAAGCCATTCTACACATTTTAGCGCTGCAATGCATTTTCGTCTGACTGAAATTGCTTTATTAGGCATAATTGCGAGTATTTTGCATTCAACAGCTTCATATCTGCTTCAAGTTGAACGCGCAACATGTGTTGCACAATCAGGTTGCAAGTCTATGAGATTATAATGAGATATTCTACTACCAAGCATATACTTTTGTGGCTCCAGTTTCGTTGTGTTGCTACTTCATTTGTTTGTGTATGTGTGTGTGTGAGTGCAATAATGCACTCAGATTAGACTTTTGCATCGAACGCACTTAAATGCAAATAATTTGTGTTGAGTGGCATCTGGTGTTGAGGCAATGCAAATCACCAGAGCTGCTGCGAAGATGACAAAGAAACGGAAATCTGTCAGTCGATTAAAGGTGTGAAAATTGTGTGGCACTAATATGAAGCAATATACTGCTCGCACAGCCGCTGAGCTTGTGACCGCAGCAGATGTCCGTTTGCTCGCAGCTGTTTACGAAGTAACTATTATAGGTGTAGGAATTATATGCCACTTTTAACCTTTAAAGGAATTTTTCTTTCTTCGGGAGAAAAGTCCAAATATCAAATTTTCATATCAGCTGTTTTTGACAGACGTCATCACGGACGCAAGTATTTCAATGGTAAAAAGCATTCAGTGAAGGTCGTGAAGTCATCGAAAATTTGCCTCATACGAGTCATCCATGCACCTCTATTAACGAAGACAACATAGAAAAGGTTACAAAAAACAGTGCTTGAGACATCAAAAAGATATCTTAGAAACCCCTCTTATGGATCGACACTTTTTCAAAAACAACGTCGAGTAGAGGTCGCAAAAGACATGCTTGACAGCTTAACTGAGGATCAAAAAAACTAAATTCCCTGAGGGCACTAAAGGCCATCGCAACCGAGGCTTATAAGAAGTGTATGGACAATTGAATTAGACGTTGTGCCGAGAAGTCTATTTTGAAACGATAGTATAGATTTGTATTAAAATTAGTGAAAGTGCAGTCAGTCCGGTTCATATTTGATCAAATGGTAAAAATAGGTGAAACTTGATCGGTGATCGATCAACCTACGTCACCTTAAGTTTCTTTCATACATATGAGGAAACACTTTTATATCTATCATAAACAAACTAATTGCATTTTACTTTCTTCACCATAAAGCGCTCACATACTGAGACAACTCTTTACAGAGCATTTGTAAACTCAGAGACATCTCAAAAGAATGGGTATCACTGACAGCAATAAGGTAGCGGTGTAAGGCTTGTTTGTAGTTACAGAGTGTAAACGAAAAACTTAATTAAATTGCAAGGTAAAACTTTTTTTTTAATATTTACATTTTCTGTTTTACGCTCTCCATTCCTGTCCACAAATTGTTGCAGGAGCAAATAATTCATAGTTTTGCTTATAAATATGTACATATGTATATTATGGTTCAAAAATCCCTTTCTCATTACATGCTTATATAATACAAATTCACATTCGACAACTATGAAGTACAGTAATATCGTATTGACCCTATCATAATAGCCCCACCAACTAGTTAGACATCCCCTCCACAAACAAAACTCGAAACAGTTTATGAGCAAAGGGAATTTCATTTGGAGATAATACCAACCTCTTACAAAATATTAGTATCACTTATAAACCTCGCAATGACAAGCCTTCTACAGAATCTCATTTTCGACAATTTAAACGCATTAATACATTAGTAATAGGACACCGCAATAAAAATGTGAGCACAAAACCCACAAAGAGGCAGACAAACAGAATCTGCACTAATTGCATAAATAAAGCAAATTATTGTGTGTCTCCCCAAATCACCAGGTGTCCGCCGAACGTCGCTGCTGTCAATGCTTCCGAGCATGGTGATGCTACTCTCGTTGTTATTGTTGTTGATAGTGTTGCAGTTGTCTGCCGTTCTAACAACATCGCATGGCATCGCGTGAGACAGAAAAGCCTCACAGCTTTGGCGTAAATTAGACGGCAATTTGATGGTAGCTGGAAGTGGCTGGAGCCACGACAATGCAACAACGAAACAACAACAACAATAACGAGCGCAGTCATATACATACATATATAAATGCCAGCAGGCAGCAGAAAACATGCAAAAACGGATGCCACAAGAAAATTAGAAGAAAAAAACTACACAAAAAACAACAACAACAAAGTCGGAAATAAAAAAAACACAGTGGCAGCAATGCTTGCGGGCAGCGCGGTCGAGGCACATTGCTGGCCTGTTTCGCTATTTCACTCCGCAAGGCAAGCCAAGGCGTTGCTGTGGGCCAAGTGCGACGCAGCGGCATGCTTGGCGGCGCATTGACTTATTCTGCAACCAGTTGAGCTGTTGCTGTTGTTGCAGTGGCGAAGCGCCGGCAGGCAAGCCATGCTGTGCGCGATCTGGCTTGTTGCCGCTGGGTGAACTGTAGCATTGCTTTTTTGCAACGTTTTCTTTTATTTCATTTCGCCCTGCTGCACTTTGGTAATTGCTGTTGTTGCTTTTGCTATTGCTCTGGGTCTGCCGTGTATGTGCAGATATTTATTGTACTTTGTTTGTTGTTGTTTTGGCTGGTGTTTCGCCTTTTAACATGCATTTTAGTTGCGCCGTACGCTTTGCTCGCTGGCAATTTCTTCGCGGCCGCACGGCAGCGTGTGTGGAAAAATCGTGATTAGCGGTTTTATTTGTCATTAAATGAGGTTTTAATGCTGTGCTGCCGCGGCAAGGCGCCCGTTTTTCAGGCATTGCGCCACACAAGTTCATTGGCGGAACGAGAAACTCGCCAAGAGGGGTGAGAGTTAATATTTTATGGCTAGCAGGTGAAAATATGAGAAACTTGGACTTGGTAGCGCAGCAAAAAAAAACTATCTCTGATATGAGTAAGATGATCTTTATTGCTATCTTATAAAAGGTTTTAGAGATTAGCTCGGAGGGTTTAGGACTATAGAAATATAATATTCAGAAAGATGTAAAATGTTTCAAAAACTGGGTTCACAAGTTTATGACTTTCAAAATAATGGGTTATGTTAAAACTATGCAGTCAAAGGCAGCTAACATTAACGAATAGCCGAGCCGCAGAGGTGACCGATAAGGTTTCTTGACCAGAGTCAGACATCACAAAATAACATATTTCTGTAATAACAGTGACAAAAAATTATGATATTTCAAATAAAAGTCTTGACCAACCAATTCCGACAGTATTACAACTACGTTTTCTAAGCATTTTTCGAAGTCGGAACCGGATAAAAAGAGGACTGAGCGATTTATATGCAATATATAAGTAACTATGCCGAGTTGTGGGTCTCACAAAATCTGCTATCGATATCAAAAAAGGTATGTTATAAGCTAAATGGTATTCGAAGATCAGATAGGATACTTATTTAGCGGTATACCTATAGAAAACCCGAAAATAAAGTGAGCATTTTAAAGAAATCGTCGACAGGAAAATTTGCTTTTACGGGAAATATAAGATTTTGCTGATTTATCAAATAATCTTCGAAAAATTGGAACGTGTTTACGCGCTATGCGCCAATAAGCACCACAGAACCAAATTGGACAACTCATAGTTTGGGAAAGAAAATTGTTCCATTTTCTTATCCCTTGTTTGAAACAGGGGTCACGACGTAGCAGAAGTTTTAACTGCACTCACACATGAAAAATAACGGTATGACCAGATATGCCAGTCTTTCAGTCAACACTTTTAGACCACACGCAGCAAATTTCTATAGAATTTTCTAATTTTTACATTTCCTTAATTTTGTTGCAATCTAAAAAAGTGCGTGTACTTCTCTACTCCGCTCTCTCCTTTATCAAGCAGGCAATAACTTTGGCAAAGACATGCGAGGCCACAACCGAGATGCGTGAGTGCAGCTCACCGAAGGACTGGTCTCTATTGGCACTGCAGAATATACGCACTGGCAAGTCGCACTACCTAATCATCTGCAGGTGTCCCGATCACTTCAAAATGGGGTAAGCGAAAACAAGGCAAACATGCAGAAAAATTAAAAATTATGCGCAATTAATAAGCAATTTTGCACTGCAATCAGCAATAAAATGTTTAATGCTGCAAAATTGCGAAATAATTGTGGATAATGCCGATTTAATTAAACTAATACACTTTTCATTATTTTCCCGAACGCGCAGAGGGTCCCATGGCACACGATCAACCCAAGTACGCCAGCGTACCCGGCATACGTGTTTTCGGCATGATGTGCGTCAAGCCCGGCTACTCGGTGCGCAAGCCATCCGCACAGCCACCCAAGCGCTATCAGCTACAAAAGCCATTCTACCGTCCCGGCACGCAAAGCAGTAGCGCCTACATCAACGTACCACAGTACGGCGCTAAAGACACCTATGGTCGACCGAGCTCATCATCGTACGCCGCCGCATCGCAGGCCGCGAGCAGCAGCAACAATTACCATTCGGAAAATGGCTTTGCTAGCCAACACGGCCAAGCCGGCGGCTATCAATACTTGAACCGGCCGGACACTAACAGCGGCATCAACAACATTAACCCACATCAATCAGCCATTAATGTCGGCAACTATCGACCGGATACACTCACTTCGATTAACAACTTCCAAACAGGCATCTATGGACGCAACAACGAACGCAAAGGCGAGACACCAATCGAGGCGGCCAAAGATGAGGACAAGTCGGTGAATACGAGCACACAACAGTCCGCGGAGACGGCAGCTGCTGCAGCCGGCGGCATCGAGGAGACAACATCGAGCGGTGATTTGGCGGCGGCTACGTCGCAGCAGCAAAACGAAGAGTTGGCACAATTGCGCGCCAGGCGTTCGGTGAACGATATAGCGGCTAACGATTGGGACGATGATACACCCGAGTTCCCATGGGATCGTGTTATGGAGTTTCAGCAAACGATCGTTTGGGACTGAGGTGAACGTACAGTAGCTTGGATGAAAGCTGAGGACGTGGCGTATGAGTAATTTTTTTTAAATTTTAGTATAGAAATGATCGAGTGTGATCTCGAGTTCAGTGGTAGAAGCAGGAATAAAATAAAGTAAAAAATTTTAATTCATAAAATCGCATATATAAATACGGAGCAGATAAATAAAAGTAAAGCTGTAAGAGTGTAAGAGCCGGCGGTACTAAGCGGCGTTCAGGTTTTGTGAAACAAAACTTTAAAGTGAAAGAGGCGAGTTTTATAGCAAAAATACTTTATCAAACGATTACTGTGACTGAATGAAAAATAAGAAAATTTTAAAAAATGATTTAAATATTAAAAAAAATATATTAATATTATATAATAACAGCATACAACAGTAGTAATACACGGAAACTTTGTGTTTGCTCAGTAAAACCTTAAAAAATTAAATTTTTAAGAAAATAAATATTTTTTAAACATAAAAAAAGGGACTTGATGAGCAAATCAGTGAGAAGTGTACCACAATACAAGTCAAAATCCACAATTTTTTCCCAAATGGTTCTTCAAAATTAAAATGTTTGGGACTAAGCAACTTAAAGTAATTTTATCGTACCAATTAAGTTCCACTATCGATAAACGTTTATCGATACACTAAATTACTTTTAGCGCGATTATATTTTAGCATTTTATTTTATCATATTTTTATATTTACTTAAATATATCGATTACATACACATAACAAATTAATTGAAGCATTTCGCGCTTTTCATTGAAGTGCTTCGATGAATTTGTTTTATTTGTGCGCAACGCCAAGGAAACATCTATTTTATTTCATACAAAACTATGAGAAAGAAAAGAAAAATCTGTAACTGTAACGTACACACACACCGACTACTTGCGGTTTTGAAGGTTTACGAATTCGAAAATCGAAAATCGAAAAACTTAAACATAACATGATTTAGTATTTATATTATGCAAATATTATTTATTTTATATATTACATTTAAGCTGCATTTATTAGTAATTAATTTTAGAAACGACAGAAACGCAATCGATTGCATTTTGTACGATCCGCTTGTACTTTGTAATAAATTATTTTTTACTAAAAATAAAACTGTCGGTCTTTTATTGTTTAAATAACGGGAAATCGCAAGATTTCAAGACAAGCAAAGGAATTTCAAGGTTGGACCAGGCTATACTTCGATGTGATTACAGATAAAATTTTAGCATCTAGCTAGATTAAAACTCAAGAGAATAGCTGAAGAGACAGATAAGTTCTTTAACGGAAAAAAGTTAACCACGTTAGAAAGCCTGGAATACCAAGTAAATCAAAGAAAAATTATACTCAAGCGCAGGTGGTGGATTAGTAATCGGAAGCGTAAAGAACCAAATGTGGCATACAGAAGAACATATGATTATTAGGCAATACATTGTCCTACGTTCGGAATTTTTACCGACTAGACGATGGAGATCACTTTTCAGATCTAGATCTTTGGACAAGTGGAAGATATTAATGAGAGAATGCACCCCTCATAATCATAATATTTATCTACAATAAGTTCTTACCAAACCACTCAATGAAGACCAGACAGGCTACTCGCACTCAGTTCTTTGGACTTAAGATATTTTTGTCACCAAACTTGATAAGCGCAAGGCCAAAATATATGGTTGCGGTATCGAAAAAAGATGATGCTCGTCATTGATTTCACACAAACTTTGTTTTAAAATAACAAAAATTCCTATACCGCTACGTGCTTAACCTCAAATAATTTAAACAAAAATACAAAGACAATTTAAACTTTGACTCACCTAAAACTTCTGCATTCACCACAATGTTACAGCTATACATAGGGCTGACCAAACGTTGCGGTTGCGCCTGGAATGCCATGCGGCAAGATTCCTTCGCTGCAGTCAGCACTTGTCCTTGAAGTAGAAAACGCATTAAGATTTATATGGACGTACTAACAACAGTAACAATTTGACTTACCAGAAAATGGACCATAAGACTTGGAATTCAGATCGTCTCCCGCCTCCACCGACCACTCGAGCACCACAAAAGCAACGCCTTGCATGGGTTCCTCACAAAGTGGCCCCGCTGCGGTTACCAACTGAAAGCCATTGACAAATGAGCTATTATAATCTCTGCGCATATCGCTCGCCACTTTAGTAACGGCATCATTGTCCGTTTGTAGCGTCAACGACTGCCAAAAATTCGGTTGCTCATAGTCGCTCAAATTCAACAGTATATTAGAACCGCAATTGCGTGGACCGAGCGCCCAGATACGATCCACCAACTCGTTTGGCGTTAGCGCTGACAGACCCTTAAGATCGAATTCAGTTAAAGCGTTAGCTAGTTGCGTTTTTAGCTGCGCTATGAGCGCGACATATTTTTCAGACACTGCAACACCTTTGCTATTCGCCGCCAACTCCTTAAAGAGGCTGAGATATTTTTCCAGCAAGCTAACAGCACTTTGTGGCAGCGGCAACGCTATAATGCGCAGTGTGCCTAACTTATTGGCTGTTTGCTGGGTGACAATCTTTTTCGTTATGTCCTTATCGGTGGCCGTCTTTACTATAGCTTCATTAACCATGTCCACTGTGGCTTCAGGTACTATGGTCTCACGGAACGACACTATGGGCTCAGAGACATTGACTTTTATCTTGGCATAGCTTTCTTCTAGGTCGCGCACACACTTCTCCACATGCACTTCACCCAGAGTAGTTATGACATGCTCACCGGTGGGCGCCATCGATACCTGTACACATGCATCGGCCTACAATTTTTGTAGCAAAGGTTATATATACTATTCAATTTCCAAATGGTATGACTTTACCTGATTCAGCAATTTAAGACCCTTTACGAGTTTGGGTAAGTCCTGCGGATTCACTGGCTCTATAGCCACACGCAATATGGGAGTAGCCATTAGGTTGAGTTCACTAAACGATGTGCAGTTAATGGTGCTGCTCAATGTTGCTGTCTTGACGATATCCTGGTCTAGGCCGCCAATGCCCACTATGTTACCAGCTGGCACTTCGTTCAGCGATTGTAATTCACCGCCCATAAACATGTACAGATCACCGATCGTCACCTCGCTTATGTAAGGTGAGTCCATATTCAACTGACTGAAATATTTGTAATTAGCTTTTAACAGTAAAAGTTATGTGTGTGTGTGTGATAAGTACATACTCTTTATTTCGTGGGTCATGTTTAGGTGTTAAGTTGTACAAGCGCATGCCCGGTCGCAGAGTGCCACTGAAGATGCGCGCAAATGCAACAAAAACATAATCAGACTTTTCAGGCTCTTCTTGTTTGGAATCTTCTTGGCATTCACTGGTGCTTGAGGGTACAACGGTGGTTTCTGCAACACTCAACTGCTTTACGCCAGCCGTAAGATTTTCTAAGTCCGCATTTTCAGCCGCTTGCTTACGCGCTTCAATGCGCCGACGCACTTCTTCTCTTCGTGAACTCAGTTCTTCCTCAGTCAAGCGCTTCTCCTTATTTTGCGGCAGTTGTGAGACATGCACAGGTGCCATCTGAAGATAATGATAGATGAAGTCGATTTGTAGAATGGTAAAAATAAAAATATACCTTGGAAACAAATACAATGATATTTTCACTGTCGCTGTTGCAGCATTTGAACTCGTCTTTTAGCAACAATGTCTCAGCTGAATAACTATTTAACTCGACATTTTGTGGAAAGAGTAGTCTTTCTGCGCGCTCGTCGGAAATTACATTTGGCGCCGGTACATGATGCACCACCATCTCCAAGACGGTGCGATCGATGGGCAGCCATTGGCCGAGCACAGTTTTTATTTGAGCTTTGGGATCGGTGACACGTAAATCACGCGCTTGTAGTTTAATCCCTAATTTTTCGGCAATGGTTTGCAGTTTTTGCTTATCTTTACGCACTGCTATAATATCGTAGAGACTCCATATATTCTCTAGTACGAACTGTACGAACATGGGTTTCTTTGCCTTTTCCTGAGCACCAGCGATGGCACATTTCTTTTTAGAATTATAATAAAAGTCGCCCCAAAGTACTTGTTCCAGGTCCGTTTTCGATATTTCTAAACGTTCTGCATAGATTCTGGCAAAGTCGCTCACAGAGAAAGCCCAGCCATCATATGCAGAGCAAAAAATAACATTACCGTCATTTGGAGAGAAATATAAACTTGAATCATCTACATCTTCCAAAGCTGACTCATAGTTGTCCTATAAAAGTATATTAAAGCATATGCAATTTATTCAAAAAAAAAAGTGTTAACATTTTTCACTCCACACACCTTATTAGTGATATCTTCCCTTGCTAGCACGTCCGAAGCAAATATGCTGCCGAGTACAGCATTTACCTGCTCTAAAACTTGGAGTATGTGAAAGTATGCATCTAATGGTGTAAACTGCATTTCCATTATGAGACGATCAATTTTATTTAGAACCAAAACTGGCTTCAGTTGTTCTTTGTAAACTTGTTCCAAACATGCGCGCGTTTGCGGACAAACACCTTCGACTACATCAACCTGTGCGCAGAATAAAATTTTAAAATATTTCCAGCACTTGAAAAGCTGATTCACTTACCACAACGATTGCGCCATCGCATAAACGCACAGCTGTTGAGACTTCACTGGAGAAATCGACATGTCCTGGGGAATCGATCAGATTAACCAGATAATTTTGCTCGTTGCCATCATTTTTAGCATTGCCACTATAATACAGCGATATGCTGCTGCTCTTCATTGTTATGCCACGTTCCTGCTCATCTTGACGCGTGTCTAGGTAACGTAACTTTCCTGCCATACGTTGAGAAATGATGCCATTACTGGCCACAAGTGAGTCAGCTAGTGTGGTCTTTCCATGATCGACATGTGCCAAAATGCAGATATTACGCACATGCTCGATGTCTGTTTGCAGTTTAACCAACGAATTTGGGTCTATTACCGGCATTTTTATTCAATAATATTTAAAAACAATTTTATATGAACGATGTTTTTACTCGTTTACTTCAAATACAAGTGAAATAGAATGTACTGCAGTCACACCGTTAATATGCACGTGTTTTGTTTACTATTAAGTATTTCGTAAATAAGCGCAACACCACTACACCCCCTGACAAATAAAATGTGAAATTTCGCGTCCAATCAGATGTTTTTTGTTTACATCCAATTTGTGAAATTTTAAACGACACCATTCACAATTGTCAAAGCTGTTGATGACTAACACAATGAAAACCTGAAATATTACAACCACATCAGTATTCTATTCGAATATTAAGTTAGCGAAAAAGCAAATATAGTGTCGAATTAAATTGATATGCATATTGAAACTAACAATTGTGGCTATGTAAATCGTAATATATTAGTAATCTTGGCAGCTCTGTTCAGGTGCACCTCAGCTGAGCTGCTGTCAAAATATGATGACGTTTATTTTGCACGTTGCTACATTGCAATCGGTATTTATTTCACGAAATTCTCCTACTGAAAGTGGCAAACACTTTGACTCATAGGCATAATAGAAAAAAGTACTTGGATTTGAAAGCCTCTTAAAAATGGTCGAACTAACTCCAGAGGAAAAGAAACAGTTAATCACCCGCAACCTGCAGGAGACGCTGGGTGAGGATAAACTGAATGCAATACTCAAGGAACGCGATCTGAAAATTTACTGGGGCACTGCCACCACAGGCAAGCCACATGTTGCATATTTTGTGCCTATGTCAAAAATTGCCGATTTTCTGAAGGTCGGCTGTGAGGTAAGGAAACTCTCTTAAAACAGGTATTTTTTAACCACAAACTCAACTTCCTTTTCAGGTCACTATACTCTTTGCTGACTTACACGCCTATCTAGATAATATGAAGGCGCCATGGGCACTACTCGAATTACGAACACAATATTATGAAGCAGTCATAAAGGCAATGCTCAGCTCCATTGGTGTGCCATTGGACAAATTGAAGTTCGTTAAAGGTACCGACTATCAGTTATCGAAAGAATATACTCTAGACGTATACAAATTAAGCTCGGTTGTAACACAGCATGACGCGAGAAAAGCTGGGGCAGAAGTAGTGAAACAAATAGAATATCCATTGCTTTCGGGGTTGCTTTATCCTGGGCTGCAAGCTTTAGATGAAGAGTATCTTAAAGTAGATGCCCAATTTGGTGGCGTTGATCAGCGTAAAATATTTACATTCTCTGAAAAATATCTGCCACAATTGGGATATGAAAAGCGCATACATTTCATGAATCCAATGGGTAGGTACATATCTTGTTGAACGAACAAAAAATATATAAAAATTGTCTGCCATTTATAGTTCCCGGTTTAGCAGGCGGGAAAATGTCTTCTTCCGAAGAGGATTCCAAAATTGATCTATTGGATTCGCCGGCTAATGTTAAAAAGAAGTTGAAAAAAGCATTTTGTGAGCCCGGAAATATTACGGATAACGGTCTTTTGTCATTCGTAAAGCATGTGTTATTTTCACTTTTTAAGGAAGGAGAAGGTGTGTATAAAAAATAATTTAGTTCATTTATAGCACAGATTAAGCATATCTACTATGATTTTTATGCTTATACATATGTATCTTTTATAATAATATATTTTAAATAGGTTTTTCTATAACTCGTCCTGCGGAATTTGGTGGTGATGTTACATTCCTTAACTATGCTGACTTGGAGAAATGTTTTGCCGACAATGAGTTACACCCTGGAGATTTAAAAGCTGCTGTTGAAAAGTACATTAATAAACTCTTGGAACCGATAAGAAAAACTTTCGATAGCCCGGAGCTACAGTAAGTATTTGAAAGTTTACGTATTAAATTAATCCTGAAATTAAATTTGTTTTACGCAAATTATAGAAAGCTTAGTGCCGCTGCTTATCCACCACCAGGTAAAACGAAAGGTGGAAATAATGCGAATAACGCGGCAGTTATTGAGGAGGATGGTCCCCACCGCTTGGATATTCGTGTTGGAAAAGTCGTCGAAGTGTCTCGTCATCCAGACGCAGATACTTTGTACGTATTAAAAATCGATTTAGGCGAGTCACAACCACGTACCATTATAAGTGGATTAGTGAAATTTGTCACAATCGAAGAATTAGATCAAAGATTAGTAGCTGTGCTGTGCAATCTCAAACCGTCTAAAATGCGTGGTATATTATCAGAAGGCATGGTGCTCTGCACATCGAAGTATGTAAATTAGTATTTGAATCTAAAAATATGTACTAACTCCAATTTATTAATATAGCGCTGAACATACTGTGGTAGAACCCATCATTGTGCCCGCTAGTGCTGCACCTGGTAGTCGCTTGGCTTTCGAAGGTTACAGTGGTACTCCTGATGAACAATTAAACCCCAAGAAGAAGGTACAAATTAAATATTTTATTAGCAAATTATATTTTATGTTACTATATGTATTTGTAGGTCTGGGAGAAACTATCTGTGGATTTAAAAACAAATGCCGAGGGTGTTGCTGTCTGGAAAGAAAACTTTTTACTTACATCCGAAGGAGAAAAACTGACCAGCAAATTAGCGAACTGCAACATTAAATAAATGGAATAAATTATGGGTTTTCACGTGGTTTAATTTTGAAAGTCGATAATACTTAGCTACTTTGCACGATTCAATATTTATTTGCAATATTATTTTTATGTATGGCATAATAAACACGAGCTTTCTATGGCAGGATATGCAAAATATTATGTTTTGATTTGAGGAAAAAAAAGTTTGTAATGAAATTAACCTAGTTATAAAATTATTTAATTATTAATACTTTTTAAGTGCGGTTATAAAAATAAACTTTCGTGTAAAAGTAATGTCCAGGTAACACCGTAAGTTGGGATAACAAAAATTTTGCTATATACCAGATTGAGCTGAGACGGCATCAGAAAATGATTCGATATATGGATTTCGGATTTTAGAAACTCATACCAAAAACTAGTACTAACCTAATGTTTTCGGTAAAATATTTGATATATTTGAACTAATATTCTATCTATGAACTAATCTTTTATTCACTTCCTTTTCCAAACCGCCGAAGACAAAAATGACGCTTCCGCCAAAAGACCAAACTATTGTGAATTAATAAAATAAATTCGCAATAGAGTAGATGCTTTTTATTTACGAATCAAAGATTATTTTGCTTTGAATTCTGCGAATCTATTGTGATCTAATTTACAACTTTGAATTTTGGAACAGCTGACGTTCTTAAATTTTTTTTCAGTTACTGCCGGCAATTAGAAAATACATACATTTTATTCGATTTGAATGAAATATTTGTAATAAATGTATTTCCAACGCGGATTAGTAACATTATTAACACAATACAGCTTCCGAAGTACCGAGAGATGGCTACATAATGAAGTACGTGTGCGTTTCGCCCCTAGTCCAACAGGTTAGTGGTTGAGAATACCGACATACTTGTGTAAAATAATAATAAATCAAAACATACATGTTCACCAAGGTCACCTGCACTTAGGAGGACTTCGCACAGCATTGTACAATTATTTATATGCACGTAATAAAAATGGCAAATTCCTGTTACGAATAGAGGACACAGATCAGACGAGACTGGTGCCAGGTGCAACAGAAAGTTTGGTTGAAGATTTATTATGGGCAGGTTTGCATATCGACGAAGGGCCTGAGTTTGGCGGCGAACGCGGTCCATATGTGCAAAGTCAACGCAAGAAATATTATCAGTGAGTCAGCAGTTTCGTTTTCTTACACTTCTAATTATTAGATAATATCTTACAGCAACGCTGTGCGCGCATTGCTAGAAAATGATACGGCTTACCGTTGCTTCTGCACCGAACGACGTTTGGACCTGTTACGTAAGGAAGCACTACGTACACGCCAAATACCACGATACGATAATAAATGTCGCTACCTAACACCCCAACAAGTGGCCGTTTTATTGGCCAAAAACACTCCATATTGCATACGATTTAAACTAACGGCGTATGAAGAACCACTGCAAGACTTAATTTACGGTCCAGTATCGCATAACGTTAGTGAAAGCGAAGGCGATCCAGTTATTATAAAAACCGACAACTTTCCAACATATCACTTTGCGAACGTAGTAGACGACCATTTGATGGGTATAACACATGTATTTCGCGGAGTTGAATGGCAAATATCAACTACAAAGCATTTATTGCTCTACAAGTGAGTGTATGTTAAATTTAAAACAAAAGCCTCGATTAAATATACTTCACTTGATAACAGAGCTTTCGGCTGGCAGCCACCACTGTACGGTCATCTTCCGCTTTTGGTCAATTCCGATGGCACAAAATTGAGTAAACGCCAAGGTGATATTGGCATTAGACATTTCCGCGAAAAGGGATATTTCCCCGAAGCGCTCGTGAACTATGTAGTCAGCGCTGGCGGTGGATTCGAGCATACACCAGGACAAAAGCAACTAATATATTCGATGGATGAATTAGCAGGAAAGTTTGATATTAAGCGCGTTAATTCACATCCTAGCCGTTTAAATCCTGATCTGCTAAACGACTTCAACCGTTTGCACATACTGAAAATGCTGCAAACCAAGACAAATACAGAGCATTTGGTGCAACGCGTGCAAGTGTTGGTGCGGCACGCTTATCCCAATGAGTACGTTATTTGAATTTGCGTAAAAACTGCCAACAGTTAATTGATTATTTTTTTTTTTGTTTTTTGTAGACGAAATCTTGATTTGGGCGACCAACACATTGAAAATGTCTTAAAATGGGCCGCTATGCGTTTGACATTCATACAGGATTTGACTGCATCAAAGCTAAGTTTTCTTTGGGTTCGTCCTGCAGACTTTAAATTGAAGCACATAACGAATGGTATGCGCATGATTAATTATTGTTTTTGAAATTTCATATTTGAGTTCTTTGTGTTTCATTAGATCAAATGCAATCGTTGATAGATAGTTTAGTGGGTGTGGAATTCACCAAGGACAATCTTAATAAAAATTTAAAGGAATTCGCTGAGGTAAATCACCTGAAACTCGCTGTTTTCATGAAGACACTCCGTTCAGCTTTAAGTGGTTTGAAGGCAAGTATTTGTTTTCCATACTAAAGATAATTAATAAACCCATAATCCGGGCTTAATCAAATGTATGGGCAAATTATAGGAAGGTCCAGGTGTTGCAGAAATGATGGATATACTTGG